TATACATAGAATTCAAAGATTCAGTTGCAAAGGCAGAAATAAAGTCTTTGTAGACTACTTCCCTTCAAAAAAATAAACCCAGAACTTTAATATGATGCAAAATCATTTACTTTCAAGTACAAATGCTTTAAAATGGGATAGAATTTATTGAGATGTGATTACACACCTGGTTATATGGTAAATATTCTTCCTACTCTCTGCTACTTCACACTTACGAGTAACTAGAAGTGACAAAAATGTGTACTAATTTATAAATTGCCTGATTGCTAGTCATTCATTTGCAAAATTATTTTTCAGGAGTAGGTTAAGACTCATTAAATTGAGAACTGTATCGGTGTAAAGAGTTTCTGCTGTGCATAGCTTACAAGTTGAAATAGTCAATTTCTTTTTTGCCTGAATACTAGTCTCTTAAATAAGCAGCCCCATTCTTAGAAATGCTCCACGTACAAAGATGTTGCCTAGTAAAGTGATGCCATTCATATTTCATCTAGGACACATGAGTTACCACAAATCAGAAGTAAACAGTGGGTGGTAGACACACGCTTTCATTCTTTTATGATTTGTCTTAAGGTTTGGCATCATCCTGTGAATCTTGTTCGCTTGAGGAATGATCTCTGGCGTGAGCTTGTTTCCTAATGGCATCCGCTGTCTTTAGTTAGATGTGATCTTCTCGATGTTATTGAATTTTGGCGGATTTTTTTTTTTTTTCCCCGATGAAATTTTCCTGCTTTGGATGGCTGTGCGCTTTTTTGCTGCTTTTTAAAGTTCCTTTTCCTTCTCTGAAAAAATAAGCATGGATGGTAGGACATACTTGGACATAGCCTGCAATCCTGTTCTTGAAAAGTAAGACAAGGGATAAATGTACACATACCTACAAAGGGGGGGAAAAAAATGTTGATGCCTGTATGATTGCTGACTTGAAGAACCAGCCAAAAACCAAAAAGCTTGAGATGGATATTAGCAAACAGGAACACTGAGACAGAACTGAAACCCTGTGAAAATCCCCAGAACTGACAATAGCTGTTTATCAAAATTGCAGTATTACTTCTTGTAATGTACAGAAGTCTTACTTTGCTTTACTTGTCTATTTGTGTATAATGTTGAATAAAGTAATGTATCTTCTGAAACTCAATCACCTTGATACATCATTTGTATGATCCATGCCAGTTTACCACCTGGTAGATTTTTCTGCAGTTGAGATGAAGGGCAAAAATAGGAATTAATCTGAGTGGAGTATTAAGTCTTACCAAAAAGAAACGGGCATCTTTTCCACCTCATAAAGCTGATGGTATTGCCTACAACAGAAGGATTTGTGTCAAAGAAATGGGCTCTTACTTGCTGTAATACCGGTACGTCATTACTAATTTGTGCTGGCACAGCAGCTGCTGTGAATGCTCAGCTCTTGGGCTGCAATTCCAGAAGGTTAGGGGCTGATGTTATTCACATCCTCTCTATAGGAAAGGACTCATTGTCACCTTAGTACAAAAGAAAGATTGCGGGTTGGTTTGGAGCGGTTTTGATTTTTTGCGTGTTTGTTACAGTAGAAATCCAAACCAGCTATGTGAAAGCTGAAGCAAGTCTGTTAGCAATTCTGTACAAAACTGGTTTGATTTTGCATGCTTTGTGTTCCTTACTGTATCGAAGAGTATTTAGATATACCCTTTTTGGTTTTTTTTTTTCAGTAAGAGCTAGGGAAGGCTGTAAATTCTGGTCTTGGTCGGGGGGGTCATTCTTGTGTATTGGAAGTGTTTTGTAATAACTTGCTCTCTGTTCAGAAATAGTGACGTTATGGCTAATACGTGGCATATATGTAGCAAAACTTTAGAAGTAACATTTTTACTTTTGTAATAGTTGCTAATTTCAGGCATATCCTATATTACTGAGTTCTGATAAAACAGATTACTTTGAGCAGCATGCCTCAGGAGTGGGGAAGTTAAAAATGTTTGGAATTCTTCTAAAAGATAAATTTGTCAGAAGGAAAGACTTGAGTAACCCTGAGCTTATGGCTTAGACATATAAATCAGATGGGGCTTCATAAAGTCATGCTGCACTTGTTCTTTTTTTGTGTAACTGAAATTTTGTGGTGTTCGTTTTGTGTGGTCTCACAGCCTTGTCCTATTGGACAAGTAACATGTTAGTCTCATGGAAATAATGAAGCAGAGAGCCTCAAAGGATTTTTTTTTTTTTTTTTAAGAAAGACTGCAGTATTCTATCATTTGTTGTGCAGGTGTTTATTTTGTGATTGCCCCAGGAGTGAGAGTGTGTGTATGTGAGGAAACTCAGTCTGATCTATTTGTTCAGATGTGCCAGGCAGAAGACCTAACTGCAAGAGGTCATGCCTCTACAACCAGCTCTGGAAATATTTCATTAAACTTGCAAGGTTCAGTTTCTCTGTTTTTAATTGAAACAGTGCAGTAGGTTTTTTTCTTCCTTAGTTTTGGGGAAGGAGAGGATGCAAGGGAGAATAATAAGAAGCAAAAACTTGGTAGGCGTGTTTGGTTTTTGAGTTGGGAGAGGGATGGTATCCTGAGAGAAAAACAGACATTAATGCCTATTAGCAGCCGTAAACTAGAACAATCAGTGCAAAATTGCATTTGCCCCAGATTTTCTAACTCTGCTTTCTGCAGTTCTCCTCCCTCTTCTTCACCAAATCTTCCAAGTATTTGCTTTAGACAGGATTACTCTGTCCTGTGATCAGAAGATGTTGGTTTTGTTTATTCATCCTGTGGTCAAATTGTTAGGTGGGTTCCTGAGCATTGTTCTATAGAAAATTATGTAAAACTTGTTTTTCAGCCAGTCTGATGATGTTTTCTGTAAGTAAAAGAAAGCATTGTAAGCATCAGCAGCGCAGCATGTTGAAGAACCACTTGGGTAAAGCAACTAATATTGAACGAATCAGTCTGGTTTTGTAGGGCTTTCAGTGGTGTGAATATATGCCTTGTAGTGTCAGTTGTCAGTGTTTGCTCTTCCTTCATTGCTTAATGATTTAAGGGTTTCCATCATGCTACTTGAGTTAAGCAGACTAGCTATATTTAAACTGTACTCATAAGTCATGAAAACAAATGCTTGTCTTTCCTTGTTTTCACTAGAAATGTTTGGGGATTTTTTTAAAGTCTCTGTAGAGATAGGGGAAGTAGCCTTTCAAGTAGGCAATAGGTCATGTAGAGCTTAGGAAAAGCTAGTGGAGGTCTACTTGCTAAAAGAGGTTGAAAGATATATTCAGGTGTAGAGCGAGAATCTTGTCTCTGTGCCCATGAAGATAAATCTGTCTTTGTACTTTCCTTGGGAACTTCCTTCTTAAAGGTGCTTCTGGTTAGGATGTGGGTTTTGATTGTTCTATTACTTAGTTCATGGACAGGAGGAGTGTCTGGTTTTATGACTGTACCTTTCTTCCCTGCTGCTAAGAACAAAATAAAATCTCACTGCTGTCCTTTTTTCATTTTCCACTCTTTTTGTTATTTTGTCCCACAAATTTTGCGTGGAAGATGAAAAATTTACAATGGCTGCTCTCAATATTTGAACTCTCCAACTTGAAGCACCAGTTACCAGCAAATGAGATAATCAAAATTAAGTGCTTGGATTTGTTTTCAGTAGTTCTGTGTTAAGAATTTTACCTTTGTAGATAAGTTTTGAGAGCAGTTTGGGATTTTGCAGAATTGATCACTTAACAAACGATAAGATGTTTTTTGAATTGTTTGAGGTGGGGGGCTTAAAGTTTACCACAAGAACTTAAGAGGGTAAGTCAGATACAACTGAGAATTGTTGTAACATGTAGCTTTCTGCTAATCGCTCATTAAAGTCTCGATTATCAAATTTTGTTACCTGTTGAGTTTCGTGTTTTTTCTTTAATCGCTTTTATTTACGTCCTTCTGTGCTAAAAGGTAAAATGGCTGCAGCTTGGTTCATGTCACCTAGTTTCAAAGATCAAATTACGTTATCTGTGGTTTTAAATATTCTGGCTTTAGTAAGCATTGATCACTTTCAACCAGTGGTTCGCAAGTGTATTATTTGTTATTTGCCATGAGGAACTGTTTTTCATTATATTGGGAACTTCCCAAGCAGTATACAGGGTGTTGAGATATACGTTGAACTGTTCAGTGTTCTGGATTTGGATATGAATCTACTGCGTAGGTGAATCTGAAGAAAAATAAATGTCCACTGAAGTTGCAGAAAGGAATTTTGTACTGGAGTACTATTAACTTTCTGAAATAGTCATTTCTCATACCATCTGTGTTCACTCACCAACTGTAGATCTTCACAGATTGTGTTCCTTTTTATCATGTCAATCACTGTCGGTTACTCTGAGGTTTGAGTAAGTTACCTGCTGTAGCTATATGAATAGTCTTTGAAGGGGGACAAGCAAAGAGGAGAATAAACATCCATCTTGCATGAAATGAATTTCGGGACAGTCTAATGTCGGCAAGTGTCAACAGTATTAGAACTTGCTTCTCTAGCTAGGCTACGGGCTTGTACCAATGCAAAACAATAAACTAAGACTGAAGCCTGAATTATGTTTGACCACTTGGATAACACAGGCCCGCGCACTGGAGTATTTGTTGAGCAGATGGCTCGTAACGTTATCCATAGAAGATGGGAGCATGAATGACTGCTCTCAAAATGTTCTTCGGTATTGTTCTGTGGAACTTTCTGATACGTAGTTGGGATTATTTTACTTCTACAGTTTATACACTTGTGTATGGGTGTGATGCAGTATGTGCAGAGTTAGCAGTTTGCTTCATCCAAGAGGCATGTGCAGGTAATCTATAAATCCTGCACTACAGATGACTGTGTACAAAACACTTTCTACGCTAAGGGCTCAAGACTTGAGTGGAAGCGCAAACAGTTTGAGAGTATCACATACCCTAGTTTACTTCAGTGATTAGACTGTCAATAGGAAAGCATCAGTAAAATTCTTGTTTTCTTGTTTGCTTGTGAATAAAGATGTCGAAAAATGAATACAGTATACAATAAGTTAACTTTTTTCTATTGTGTCTCTACAGGAGTACCAAAGTCAGATCTTCTACATACACGATCTTTAAGGGGGCACAGAGACTGCTTTGAAAAATTCCATTTAATAGCGAATCAGGACTGTCCGCGATCAAAGCTCTCTAGAAGTCCATATGCAGAAGTAAAAAATATCTTGAGCAAAAAAATTAACTGGATCATACAGTACGCACAAAACAAGGATTTAGACTCTGATTCTGAAAGCTCAAAAACGTCGCAACACCAGCTTTTTAACTTCAGACATCAGACTGATAGAAAATTACTCCCACAGTTTGACTCCCCAGTACCTAGATACTCTGCAAAATGGATAGATGGGAGTTCTGGAGGCATCTCAAGCTGCTCACAAGCTCTTCTGGAGCAAAGAGAATCCACTGATTTCGGACTCGGTGTGTTACAAGAAACAGGTGCTACCTTCTGTTGCAGCAGTGTTTTGTGGTCTAATCACAGCCAAGCCCAGAAAGCTGAAAAAGCTGAAGGTGGTTCACTCACCGGTGTTTGTAGAAGGCATCCTCAATACAGCAGGGAAGAACGTAAGTATATCTCTATTTACACATGACCTAGCAAGCAAGGCCATTCTTTGAAATACCTCTTGACCACTCAATGTCCCCAGAGGGCATTAATTCACAGCCTGAAATGCAGCTTTTAACAGTTTGGAGTTACTGTAAAATCTGTGGGGGGGAAAAAAAAAGGCCACATGGCGAAGCAGATAGTGTGGAGGGTATGGCTGGTGGGGGGGTTTTGTTTGGTTGTTTTCTTAATTTTCCTGTTAATTATCCCCCAGCGTGACTCAGGACACACCTATTTTATGCAGAAAGTTACTGTTAGGGTTGATTGCAGTCACTTTAATGTGTCGGTCCTGGCAGTCACACAGTCGTGCCTGTGGACATTACTAAACCGAAAACAGCTTTCGTCCTGAACGTGTGTGGTGCCTTGAGTTACGTTGCACGGAGAGCTGCCCTAAGCAATAGGGGAAATCAGAGGTCAGGTAGCAGAGCAAGCTTGTGAAACAACATAAAAAATTAAACGTTCTTAACAGTAGCGGACTCCCCCTGTGCATTTTATTAGGGTTTTATTTCCTTCTGTTTATTGAGTAGAAGAAAATGGGAAGACTGTTATGCCACCATGTCCTCTTAAAGGCTGTAGTAGTAGACCTGAGCAATTCTTTTGATGACCATGATGATACTGAAATCTGCGGAAAATAAGTTTTCCTGTTATTTAAGAAGGTCACTAGAAGAGTTATTTAGAAAAATCTAGGATATTGCAGTCTCTCTGGAATTGGCCTACATGAAATGTGTTAGGAGTAAGTTGCTAGAGATCTCTGCAGTTACCGTCCATCTTTTAGAACAGTGCCCAGCCCTAAACTGGAGTACATCCACTCCTAGTTTTGTAGATGAGAAAAATAATTGGAGAGGGTTTCTGAATGTCAAAAGACCTTAGAAAAGACAAAAAAGCTGGTAAAATATTCAGTGAAATATTGGGTGAGGAAAAGAAGGGAATAATGGAATTCAGAATGTCAGGAGAGTGAGAAAGAGGTACTGTAAAAAGTTGGAACCTGTTTCTTTAGGCTCCCATTTTTTTAAACAGAGTAACGAACCTGTTCTTGCAAAGTTCAGTCGTTTCACATTCTTTATAAAAGGATTTTATTTAACTGTTGTATGATGCTTCATATTGCGTTTGTAGTGAATTAGTAGTCTTAAAGCTATAAATCAAAACAGATATACTGGGCTGTTTGACCACCTGTCTTCTGGAGTCATAAATCGGGATTACATAAATCAAGACAACAGTAAACAGGAATTATGAAAGCTTGACCTGGTTTAGGGGGTTATTTAAGTGAAGTTAGTGACTTGGAATTTATCTCTCCGATTTTGGGACAGGGGATCATAAAGCTCTTTTGAGCACGATAATGGATATTTTTCTTCTGTCGTTACTGCATAATGCACTCTTAAGGCATTTTTGCTTTGTTTGGGGGGGGGCTAATCTTTCTACAGTATTTAGCTTTGAGACATTCATTTGGAGACTGTATGATTACATAAAATTTGTATTTTAGAAAAGAACTTAGATGTTCTCTGCCAGAATTAGATACCACCTTATTGGAGTGTTTACACTGTAACAACATAGCATTCTACTAAAAAAAAAGCATTGTTAATGTGATTGTAAACAACTTGGTCAATATTTCTTTGCTCTACCCATGGCTGAGGTAGATTATAATCTTTTATTTAAATTCTGTGTTCTGTGCCTTCTCCCTTTCCCTCTGTATCAGAATTATGTATCAGGACAGGACTGTTTCATGTCACACACACGAAATGTGTGAACCTGCCTGTCTGCTACAGTTGATGAAGTGTTGATGAAAACAATGAAGAAATGGGAAGTAACATCCTACTACTGAGTATAGGAAGGGGAAGGGGGGAATTATCAAATTTCTTTTTAAAGCTGTCAATTACTAAAATCCAATCAGTGTTTTCTTGGAGCTTAAAAAGTGCTAATTGAAAGGGTGGTAGGATGTAAGACAGGAGTCTTCTGTTCTATCGATAGCTGAAGGTAGGAAGGAGCACCACTGTACCTGGCTGTTGGAGGAGAAAGGTGGATCTGGTTCTCTCCTAAATGGCCTTATGTCTTGAGTAACAAGCAGGCTATCTTAGCTGTTGCCAGCTTCTTTGGTTTGGCAATAGCAAGAGAAAGTTAATATCCTGCAACAGCAATATGTGAGAAGGGCTAGAGTAAGCAAATCATCCCATGGGTAAGTAAAAACCATCCTTTTCAGAACTTATGCTTTAAATTTACAGAAAATTCTTGCACCGAGAAATCTCTGAACAAAAGCTGCATGCTTGCAGCATAGGTTTTTCCTAAGTGTGCAGTGAGAGCTTTGCTAAGCTGCAGCATTCTTTTAAGACCCTGTAATTTTTAAATTTTGTTTTTAAGCTTGTTTCAGTGCCCTGTATCCTCTTGTGGTGCACCAACCTGCCCCCACCACTGCTGAGTTGAAGGATTTCTAGGAAACAGGCCAGTGCCTCCTTAATTGCTGCTGTTGATCGAGGGCAGTGCCGAATACTTTCACAGTTCCCTCCTCTGAGGTTTAATATATATTTTTGATGAGGATGATCAATGTACACGTAACCTGAGACACAGAAGGACTTTTGAATGAAGAATAGGGTCTGAGGGTCTTCTAGTTCTCGCTAGGAATACAGCACAAGAAAGTGAGAAGGAAACCTACTTTTATACGTTGGTCTTTGTATCAGACTAGGATTTTAATTCTTCATTTGTCACTGAGTTACTCAGTTGAAACCGTATATGTTGTTGTTGTTATTATTGTATGCATAAAGCACAAAACTTGATAGCCAAAACAGGTAGCTGTGTGCTGAAAATTCCATGCAGAAGCTGTTTTGTGTAGGCTTGCAGACATAGCAGGATTTGCCTCAGAATTGTCCACTTGCCTGCAGTTCGAGAGGTACTTGCAGGGGTCACACTGTGGAAACCATGTTTTGCAGTCAGAGGAAGGTAAAGTATTTAAAGGTGTCAAGCAACTTACAAGCAATTTACAAGCAGTTCTGATTCTGGACACTTTGGTTTTGAAGGCTTGAGTTTCCAGCTCTTTGACATTGAAGAAGGGGCTGTGGAGTAAATCCTTGTCTGTGTCAACATAAGAGAATTTTCAAGCTTTCCACAAATGACTGATAAATAATGTTGCCTCTGACTTACTGTCGCACCTCTGTCGATTATTAGAATGCAAACGATGACAATTTGAGGAAAGCGGGAGTCTGCTTAGGGATGCTTATGTGACTTTGATAGTAGTAATAACAGATTTTATTGTTACAGTGACTATGATGACTCCTGGAGAGTTAAAGCAAGTTAATGAAAAACTGCTCAAGCAAATCCAGGGTGAGAATTTTTCAATACTCTTCATTTTGTGTTTGCGTTGCTTTGTAGTAAAGAAGATCTTGTTTCGAAAAGGAATTGCGATGGCTTTACTATCGGCTAAGTTTTGGATTGAAATCTCTGTATGTCATGTTTCCACGTAAAACAAGAAACTTCTAGGTGCTTTTCTTATGTAACCTGCAAACTGACACTCGAATACAGTATTTTCTTTGATTTTTTTTTGACTGGAGTCAAGTTCTTTTTGAGTTATAAACTGATCCAGCTTTGCTGAGGTCACCTAAAACTAAACTGGTGATCCTGTTCAGTTCGCGATGCATGCACATGCAATGCAATGTGCTGGAACCAGAAAAAGTGGTGTTCTTGTCCAGGAGCCCAATTAAATGTCCGTGCCTCTGTCATAGTCAGGTTCAGCACTGCTTCTTAACGCTGTGGGAAGTACAGGGACCAAGTGCATTAACCTGATCATGTTCTTGCAGATGTGTTTGAAGAGCTGACGCAGCAAGTCCAAGAAAAGGACTCTCTGGCTTCAGAGCTCAATGTCCGTCATATAGCTATCGAGCAGCTGCT